TTCCGGGTTTTTTTTNTTTTTTTGTCCTGATCCCCACCACCCGTCGGTGGCTAATGGAGCTTCTCTGGCTAATGGATACTGTCTGGCCAATTTGATACTGTCTTTTTGCCACCGAGAGGGATCTGCTTGGAGATTAGAGCTATTCTAGATCTTCCCGGAGTTGTCAAAAGAAACATATAATTACTGCGCGCTAACGACCACTCAAAAAGGTCCGGACCCGTTGGAATGTTAGCCTCCGAGTTTGATCGGTCGTGTTTTTTTTTGGGGGGGGGGGTATTTTTTCTGATCAAACGTAGATCGCACGCAATAGAAGCTCCGTTCAGCAACCCTACATAGCTCTCTGTTGGCCGGGCGTTTACTCTTTAAGTTATTTTGGTGACATTTAGCGCTGGTATATTCAAGATTTTGCCACCGAAATATCTGCTTGAGAGTTAATAAAGAACCTATTTCTCTTTCGGCATCCCCAATATGATAGCATTTGGCATGTATGTGCAAAGGTTCACGCCCTCCTCATGCGATGACCCGCAAATGTCACCGCAGGGGTCGTGGGGGTAGCCCGTCTGCGATGATCGGCCTTCCAACAAACTGGGCCGGGGATGGGGACTTCGAGTGGAATAGATTTTTTTAGAAGTTTTGTGATTTTGATGACCATCTAGATATTTGAAGGAGCAAGAGATACCAAGAACAGGGATAAAGAAGCGATGTCACAGAAGGCCTGACAGGTAATATACATTATTATACAACGTACGGAAGCCTTTCATCGTGTTAGCTGTAATCAAGGAGCTTAGATGAAAAAAACAAAAAGAAAATTAAATTCACTTGCGATATTTTCAAACCTAAAATAGTGTTGGTTGACATACCTTTAAAAATTTTGTAGAAGCATTAAAGAATTTTTCCAGGCGCAATGACTCCGTTATCCTCCCTGTGGCTAGTTTTGGGGGAAATGTTGAGTCAAACGTAACATTTCAAGTACATTCACAAAAGTCTAACGTTACTCGAACGTACGTATTAAGAAGGAGTGACAGAGCCTGTGGTTTGTTTTAGCTTGGACATTTTGTGTTTTCTTCAACGTCCATCAGCCCTCGAAGTCATGATGTCAATTGAAATGCATGGGACTTCACGTTCAACTGTACAGAAAACTTATAAGGCGCTAATAATTCTCTGAATATTTCACCCCACTGTTGAAAGTAAGTCATAGAAATGGCAGAAGTTAACCCTAACTTCCGACAGTCGCCCGGGAGGCGGTAGAAGTTGTCCGAAGTTAGACCTAACTTTTGACAGTAGCCCGGGAGGCGGTAGAAGTTGTCCGAATTCGAAGTTAGACCTAACTTTTGACAGTCGACCGGAAGGCGGTAGAAGTTATGTATAACTTCCGACGGTGGCAGATGTGGCGAAGTGTCTGAAGTTACGTTAGGTCACGTAACTTCGGACTACTTCAGACACCTGCCACCCTACCCTGCCAGTGTCGGAACTTAAAACTTGGAAATTACAGTGACTTCACGTAACTTCGGAAAACTTTAGACACCTGCCACCCTACCCTGCCAGTGTCGAAAGTTACAGTGACTTCACGTAACTTCGGACTACTTCAGACACCTGCCACCCTACTCTGCCAGTGTCGGAACTTAAAACTTGGAAGTTACAGTGACTTCACGTAACTTCGGAAAACTTCAGACACCTGCCACCCTACTCTGCCAGTGTCGGAAGTTACAGTGACGTCACGTAACTTCACGTTACTACTGGTAAAACCAACTTGGTATACATGTAGCAATATACTGTTTCAACAACCAATTGTATAGGTCAACCTATCACTTTGGTTTGCTTAAAAAGCAACAGCAAAACATTCACGTCGTAATATTCGATTATGATGACTACCGGTACCCGAATATTTCACAAGGATTTGCGGTACACTTTGGGTGGGTAAAATCTGGGGTAAAATGGCGAAAT